AAATGTGCAAGTTAAATACATAGTTTTGCAAGGTTTGTTTATATGACATGTAAGCTAAAATGTTTAAAAACCATTGCATGTAATCTAAATGTTTGTACTCCTATAATATTCTGAAATTAAAAATAAAAATACAGACCATTGGCTTTAAGAACTAAAAAATAGCTTGAATTTTTTTCCTGGTCCGTCATTAATTTGCTGAATAGTGTTGGATATGATGTCCCAGAATTGATACCCAAAGTATCTACCTATAAAATTAGACTTTGGGAGTTGACGATACCTCTGGGTGTTTACTATATCTAACTGAGCTAGGATACGCTATCAATTTTTAAAGATACCACCATCTAAAACAAAAGCTGAAATCATTGATTTGAGATTTGAGCTATGCAAAATGAATTAGGTTTTCATACTAAAAATTATAGAAGTACTTAGATCATAGAGTATTAAATGTTTTCTTTAGGTATTTATAGCTATAGCTTTCCCTCTGAGAATTGCTTTAGCTTCATCCTATAAGTTTGGTATGTTGTGTCTTCATTTTTATTCATCTCAAAGTGTTTCTAATTTCCCTTGTGATTTCTTCTTTGACTTGGTTATTTAGGTGTATGTTGTTTAATATTCACAAATATTCATGAATTTATAAATACCCTTAATTTCTTTCAGTTATTGATTTTTAATTTTGTTCTGTGATTAATGTACATACTTTGAATGATTTAAAATCTTCTCAACTTATTGTACCTTATTTCATGGACTCCTAAATAGTCTACCTAAGAGAATGTTTCATGTGCACATAAGAAGAATGTGATTCTGCCAATGTTGATTAGAATGTTCTATAGATGTTTGTTAAGTCTAGTTGGCTTATAAGGATGTTTAAGTCTTCTGTTTCTTTTCTGAGCCTCTGTCTAGTTGTTCTATTGATTACTGAAAGTAGGGTATTGAAAACTTCAACTATATAGATTGGATTATATCTTCCTGATAAATTGACCAATTTATAATTATAAAATGGCAATCTTTATGCCCAGTAACATATTGTTTAGAAGTCTATCTTATCTAAAATGAAGTTAGCCACTCTAGCTTTCTGATCATTGCTATTTGTATGATATACTATTTTTCATTCTTTTACTTTTAACCTATTTGCATCTTTGAATCTAAAATGTGTCTCATGTGTACAGCATATAGTTGATGTGTTTTTAAATCTAGTCTGACAACCTCTGCCCTTTGGATTGTCTAATCCATTCAAATTTAATTTTATTATTGATACGGTTAGATTTACATCTGCTATTTTACATTCTGATCTATATATGTATCATGTCTTTTGTCCCCAAATATTCCATGGCTTGTGGCATGATAACGCCAATTTCTACTTTTGTTTCCCATGGCCTTTTCTCCTGTATCTCTGTGTGTCCTCTCCTCTCTGATAAGAACATCAGTCTTTGAACTTAGGACTCACTGTAATGCAGTGTAGCCTCATCTTAGCTAATTATATCTGCAATGACCCAAAATTGAAATAAGTTCACTCAGAGGTTCCACTAGACAAAAATTGAGGGGAGACATTATTCCACTCACTATACCAGTTTCCCCTTGTCCTGAGCTTGCTGATGCTATTTTTTTACTTGTTTAATTACTTGAGTGAACTTTTCTGGTAAAGTCTATTTCCTCCCACAGTGTGAAGTCTCTGATGTAAACCCTAGTGGGAACAGTCTTGAGCACGGATGCAGTCATCCTTTAATGGCAGTTATTCTAGCAGGCATATCTGACTATCTCTTTTACTAATCTCTCTGTTCAGCTATTTGCCTTTGTTGGTATCACATCTAGGCGTTAGGCTATTGCTGGCTCTACTGTTTTTAAAAATACTATGGATCATAAATTGCTCCACAGTCTTATCTAATCAAATTTGGGCCCCTTTGCAGGAGTAATTTTGAGGCCAGTCTTTGAGAGTTGTTCTGACCCCAAAATGGCCCATCTTGGGTATTTGTTTCCTGGATTCTCACTGGTAAGCAATGATTGAGCTTGTTGATTTCATGGACCTCCCAGTGTCCTGTTAATTGCTTACCACCAAAATATAAATTGTTTTTGAGAGTACCTTTAGGCTTGAACTTCACTACACTCTGTTATAAGTAAAGTAAATTTCCTTAGGGAGAACTTCAAAGCCTTTCCTCCTGGGAAAAATTTTTACAAGCAGATTCTGGATAGGTTAGTTGTTTCTGTTCTTCTGACCTTGCTTCTGACAATGTGGAACCACCACCTATGAACAGGCAGGGATGAGAATGACTGGGTATTCTCAGCCTGCCATTCCTGGGGTATAGCCTCCACCCTGCGAGTGAGAGTCACATCAAGGAAGGGGGTCCCCAATTTCTTAGCAATATTCATCTGAAATTTAGCCTCTGCAACATGGAGTTGGATTGGATAAGACATGTTGGCATATCTCCAAGGACACACTGTAGCCTTTGACTGGTAGCTGAAGTAAAAGGGATCCCTGTCTTATTGGCCAAACCCACCTATAGTGCAGCTCCTGTCATGCTGAGACAGAAAGGGGGAGAGAGAAAGAGGTTTGTGGTGCATGTTCTATAGTCTCCCACTGTTCTTATTGAGATTTAGTAAATGGTCTTTGAATAGAAAGAATAAATATTTCTTTCTTTGCTGTATTCCCTTAGGACAATTTCCAAATACTTCGTGTTTGCTTTTTTCCTAAAATAAATTTTCACCAGTTATGGTTGTTTTTTGGGGGGATAGAGTCTATGGACCTCCTCACATTGTTATTCTGCAAGTGGTATCTACATTTTTCTGCAGGTATCAAGGATACCTGCAGCCAATCTTTGCTTTTGTTAGAACACACCCCATTTAAAATGGTATGAGGCAATCGTATTGGAAATCTTTTTTGGGGAGAGTTAATCTGTTTCTACTTTTTGGGACTTTGATATATATCTTCAGTTCTTGAAATACTAACAGTCACAGGCTGTGATATTTACTATATACCAGGTACCTGTTCTAGAAATGCCCGAGGAATGAAACAAAATGGACTAC